CATAAGTTCTAGCTTCTGTTTAAAGTAACTTATTACAAACACGAAAATTAAGTTGTATTATCAAACCCATGGCAGCCTCGTCTCCTTGCTAAAAATCGTATCAGGCAATCTGCAAAGGTGCTTGTTATCCTGTAAATTAGTATGCAATTGGGCCAACAACGCTCCTCAGATGGTTTTTCCTCAGCTTTCTTCTTCTCCGATTGCTTGCCCTACATGAAAAGAACATATTAACCTACACTGCCTTATCTAACATATTCAACAGAGATTTCTCCGCACAGAATTAGTGGCACAATCCCTAAATAGACTATAGTCTTGCTACGTATATCCATGTATCCAGAAGAATTGCTAAATTTCAATGACTTGTTTCCTTGAGTTGGTTTTATGATCTTTCTATTGCAACTGTCACTTTAAACAAAAAAAAATTGGAAGCTCTTTGAACTTCAATGGCCCAAGCAATAGATAGAACAAATATTAAAGTTTTGACTGTAGGCGAGAATGAGACTAAAAGATGGAATGCTAGAAGACTTGCATATAGGAACTAAAGCAAGAAATGGTTAATCTACTCACCAGTACTGATTACGTAACACAAATGAATCAGTTGCCACTTTATTCCCATCATCATTGCGGTTCCAGTGATATAAGGCATGTGTCCTATTTCTGATCTCCAGTGTTGAATGCCCATAACTGGCTTCGCGGAATGCAGAATAATCTGGTTGAGGATCTCTAAATCTACAGACCAATGGAACATTTGTTAAAGATGACTCTGAATGTGATTCTATTACAAATTACATCAGTATATTTCATTGTCAATTATCATCGCTATTGGAAGTATAAAGGATTTAAATAGTATCTCTGAGTTACAGAATTCAACTTACCTTCCTGCTAGACCTTCTTGATTTCCTCCATCCCCAACAGTGATGTAAACAGGAGCTGATTTGTCAGGTACAGGGTAATGCTGACCACTTGATACATTGTAGTGTACATTTGAGATTCGATACTAGAAGTTAAGAAAGAAAAAAAAAATGAGTATCCCCAGCTCGCCAGAAACTATAAGCTGATAAATGCTATGGAATGGAGCCGTATAATGCCCTAACATGCATGGTGTTGATGCTTGAGTAGACATAAGCCTGAGTAAATGATCATAGCCATAGATGGCTCTAACATAAATGAATAAATCTCAATAAGACCAGACAGTGAGTGGGTTGTCTATCATTTTTGCGAAACTTATTACTCTAATTTTGAAGAACTTGTTTGATAACTACTTTACATTACAACAATAAGGAAAATATTTCAAATAACACAATTTTATAATTTTGATACAAAAAGTTTAGATAAAAACCAAAATTATAGGGTTCTTTTTTACACAAATTTTACCTTACTGAAAACATCGATAATATACAAAGGGAAATGAGATACTAAAAGCAATAACCACATAAGTAAATAACCGTACCGATCTTTCATACGCATGGACATGACCGGCAAAGACTACGTCAACTTTGTGCTTGAGGAACCAGCTCTCAAAGACTGCACGCATACTTTCACCCTCCATGAAGTGTGCTTCATTACTGTTGTATATAGGCACATGCATTAGAACAATAAGCCAAGGTGTCTTCTCCCTGTTAACCCTTTTAAATTCTTCATTGAGCCATCTCCATTGAGGCGTGTATTTGACTGTATAAGAGGTTAAATCAATCTTGATGTAAAATATACAGGCACTGGAAAAAAGGAAAAAGGTGAAAATAAAGAGATATGTCTCCACCCAAAATGGAGAAGACATACTAGACTACAAGGATAACAGAAGGCTCTAATGATTTATTTTGATGACAGGACAAAAAATGGTCAGGCCAACCTTTTGAGATTGTTAAGGGTCTTAATGGAGTATTTGTTCATTTTAAATGCAGAGATTTTTTCTTAAATGTCTAAATATGTCTTTGCTTTACACTTCCACTTGAGGACAAACATGGCAGTTAACATGGTTAGTAAGCTCTCTTGAAAATATTAAGAGAACCTGATCAATCCAAATATATTTTCTTCAGGGAATGAGTTTTAACATCATGTTGCATAGAAGTCTTAGTTAAATTATTGTTCACCCAACAGAAATCCAAAATTACAGGTAAGATTGGATTGTTGTTGTGTGTGCACAGGGTAGCACAAGCTAAGGTATACTTCATCCAAGATTATCTCCACATTTTAGACAAACCACATTTTCAGGAAATATCACCAAGTCATTCTAAAATGAGCTAAATTCCAATATTTATTTTCTAATTAGTCTTATTGGCAAATAAGAAGAAGCAACTATGGAATAGTTAATTAAAGCATTAAGGATTGGTATCGAATTATTATTAGTTTTCCTAGCTTTATTGGGCTTAATTTTTATTTAAGATGCTTTATTACTGTTACTATTTTTATTATAGGGCTGTTTGGTGGAGCATTTTGGTAATCCTTGCTTTCTTAAAACTTGCTTTTGAACCAAGTAAAATGACAAATTCAAAATTTCCCTCCAAAATATTTTTTAATTTGTGAGAGAAGAATTTGCTTGACAGAAAGTTTGCTAAAAAGCTACATCAAACAGCCCAAGTGTAAGTTCCAGTCTAGTTAGACTCAAAATTTTATTTCTTTTTAATTTAGTAGTTGTTGGAATATCTCTATATATGTTAGCCTTCCTTATTCAACTAGTAAAAGCCCCCAAGAGTGTGTCTCAACTAGTAAGAGCTTGAGACTCCAAGCTGGAGGTCTCAAGTTCAAACTGTGAGACTGGTGGGAAGGGATATGGGAAAAAGGAGGGTCATCCCTTGTTGTATAGCCCATTCATCAGATGTACCAAAAAATAGTTTATCAACAATAACATTCAGAAATTTTCAGAAAGAATATTTTCTTGAGATTGTGAGAAGCAATCTTGATCATGTGGGGCAATCAACCTTAGATGTAATTCCCCAGTGTTTTCTATTCTATTTAGGCGTGATGCCTAAAGAAGGCAAGGTGTAGACCCAAAAGTTCTTTCTATTTCTATTACCCTTTTTCTACCCATTTTACTCCTAAATCAACCCCTTAGTCTCTTATTGTGCCAGTCACCATACCTTCAAGTGTTTAACAATACCCTTGTCTTTAGCATTCCAAAAAGATGCAGATTTGTGGCCTCCTTGTACAAATCTGTACTATTATTTTTTAGGAAATTAAGTGGCACCTGAATTATACTATTTTCCTATTGCTAATAATACCCTTCTCTTTGGCACAACCATTACATTTGAAGTTATTGGCAGTAAAAGTCACAAATCTGTACTATTGTTATTTTTTTGCATCATCACCACTACCATATTGCTAGATAGTACAAAGCACTATCTCATTTCTTCCTCCACCCCCAACCAAAAACTAAATATGGAGATATTTTAATAGTATAATTTGCTTAACTCATAAAGCTGTAAGAAAACCAATGAGGCAATGTGAAGGGATTCAAAAAGTTCCATTTTCTTCACTTACAAGCTCATACACATTTACATCCCAAAAAATTTCATAAATCCATGTTACAAAAATTATAAAAGGATCAGAACATAAAATATATCACCAACTTAGTGTTTAAGCATAAAAATAGAGAAGTATTGATGAAATAATCAGTTAATGCATACATAAATATAGATGTATCTGTCCACATATTAACTACTGAAGAGATAAAGAGAGCTTACCAAATGGGGAGTAGCTGGAGAGCACAATGATATGAGCAGATGCACGTCTAATTGCATACCACAAAGGACTGCTGCTTTTGGAAGCCAAATAAGGTGTAGGGTACCGATGAAGATAGGATTTGAAAGGAATAACTTCGTCCTATTGTTATGTTATCAAAAAATTGAGAACTGAATAAGAATGTTTCTGTAAATCAAATTGCCTAGAATAAGAGATTAAAAACATTGTTTTGTCTTTTCTTGACATTCTCTTATTGTGCCAGTCACCATACCTTCAAGTGTATAATATACCATGTCAAAGCTCTTGCTGTAACTCTAGATATCAGTTGAAGCACATTGCTATGTTTTTAGGATATGAAAAGAATCACATCTTATAATGTTGTTACTAATCTGAATAAATTCAACTCAAATAAGCTCTAATGGAAAACTAGTCAGCGTGATGGCATTGGCTAATGAATCCTTTTTCCACATGCTGTCTGAAAAGAGCTATATTATTTTGGATATGTAGAAATGCTCTGCTTTCAATTGTATTTCTGTTTCAGCCTATGGAAATCTAACGCTACAAGCACAATTAAATGTAAATTTATGTCAAATAAAAGAAAAAACTATAGAAACATCTTCAAGAATGTCCTAGGTTACCATGTTGACAAAAATGGACAATTGAAATGAGGAAGACCAACTAGTTGAGAACACGATGCACAAATGCCAAGCTCATAGTTTTAGCAACTTCAAAAGACTAGTTACAGAATATCTTACAAATAAACTTCTAATAAAACATGTTCAACGCCTTACCATGTAAGGAAAATACTCAATTTCATGATTCCCAGCAGACCAAATCCATGGCTGATATGCAGCACTTCTTTCTATAAAACAACCCCAAGAATCCCACCGAATACCAACATCATTATACTGATATCTATCAGCATAAGCAAGGTCACCTGCAAATAAGACTGTTTGTGCTCCACTCTGCATGTAATGCTCAAGGGTTGACAGTGAATTATATGTCTGGCCCAAGTCACCTGCAACACAAAATTTAATTCAATCAACCAAAGAAAGACTTGAAGAATGAAAGACTTATCAGAAGAAACACATTTATACAGGTCATCAAATTTGAATATCAAGAAAAGACGGAACAAGCAGGTAGTTAAAATAAAGTTGAAGGATCTCAATGAAGAAGGCTATGTAAAGAAACGTAAATCAAGGTCATGGTTTTGTGGAGCTAACTGGAATATACTGCCTTCTGCCTCACAATATATAATTCTTTCCTGTATATAAAATGGAGTTGCTTTATCTATTATTTCAGTTTCATTGCCAATGGGTACTCCAACAAAAAACCTAGGGGGGGATGAGTAATCATGAGTCAGGCAATCCAAGATCACAAAGAAAATCTAGTTTGTACTTTAAGCACTTCCAAATCCATCTACATTTATAGATTCTAATGAATGTGAACCCACAGCATGATCCAAGACAAGATGGTTCCTGCTCATGAATAATCCTTGGAATAGACTAGCTATTGACATGAAAGGCTTTTTCAACAGAATTAGTTGCAGTGGCAGTATAATCCATATGTGCACACTTTTTCTCACATTACCTTGGATCAAATAATATAATGACTAGCATTAATTAAGTTACTTTCAGCAGAAAGTGTCAAAAATAATAACCTAATTAGGGATGACAATTTACCCCGAACCCTATGGGGACCCGCAGGGATCCCTGCCACCGTGCTGGGGCAGGGATGGGAAGCATTTTCTCCCTGTGAAATTTCATGGGGTATTCCCCTCAAGGATCCTGGTTCCCAATGAAATATCAAAAAAAAATTAAATATTAAATCCAACACAATTTAAATATTTAACTCATGTTATAGGCATGCCCATTACTCTTTTAATTTTAATCTAAAGTCCAATTATTTTAAACCAAACCAAATCCAACATTTTTTTTTACTCTAACCCAACTATTTAAAATATTTTGTTTTACAATAATAAACTAAAAATGATTAAATTAATTTTATAATATAGATTGACAGCACCTTGGGGGGGGTGGACAATCCCTACAGGGATCTCTACCCCCAATCAAAAATCCCTATGGGGATCCTTGTCCCCACAATTCATGAGGGTGGGAATGGGGAGGCACTCCCAGCCCCACAGAGCCCTAATGTCATCCCTAAGTTATCTAGTGCAATTTCCCTTTGCTTTCCATTATGTGTTCGTTAAAGTACACAAGATTTGACACACCACATCTCAATATCAACACAAGGGAAACTGTTATAATAACTGTCTACTATTTTGCATGGGTGATCTCTATGATCTCACAATCACATTTTTGCCTGATGTAAATCAGTTGAAATCTGGATGTCTATTGAACAATAAGAACAGCTCAACATCCCAAGGCATACCAAACAATATTTTTTAGTATTACTTCGGAATTAGACAACTCACCAATGATTCCAAATTTATAAGGAGCATCTGGATCAATCTTTGGAGGTGTTTGAAACCAAAATTCTCTTGCAGATTCACCATTCCCAATCTTGTAATAGTATTTGGTGTCATGCTGGAAAATACAAACAACTGATTAAGGAATCAAACTCATAAAGCAGGACAGGATACCAGAGTTTATATATGCAATTGTAATCCATATATTTATAGCCTAATTGGTATTTCTCTTAACATAGGTAGTATGTTAGTTTATAGTGGTGAAGATTCTATGCAAACTGAACACTCAAAACTCAAAAGCCGTTCTCATAGTTTGGAGTGAAAAGGAGACAGCAAAATAATTACTCTACAAATCAGACATAGAAAATCACACAATAAGCTTCTGTATGAAAAACAACAAAAATTTTTTAGACAAAAGATGGTTGTTGATCAGCCAAGAAAACAAAGGATGTGAATATGACTTGAAGCACTAAGGATTGCGTCTTAGGACAGCATACCAGAGTTTATATATGCAACTGTAATCCATATAATTATAGCATAATTGGTATTTCTCTTAACATGGTAATATGTTAGTTTATAGTGGTGAGGATTCTACGCAAACTGAATGCTCAAAAGCCATTCTCATAATATGGAGTGAAATAAAAGCAAAAAGAGACAGCAAAATTAATTACCCTACAAATCAGCCATAGAAAATCACACAATAAGCTTCCGTCTGAAAAACAACAAAAAATTTTTTCTACCTTACAGCGTATTTGAGTTGAAGGAAATGCAAGGGAAGGGATTTTTGTCAACTAAATAGAAGAAAAGGTACTTGTTAAAACATTCATGAAAGTAGCACTTTCCTAACTGATAAATACCTCAAGGCCATCAACCAAAACTTGATGAATGAAACCTGACTTATATCTGTACATGGTGTAGTTTGTCATTTTCCCCTCTGCAGTAAAATCATATCTATTCTTTGATATGCCATATTGCACTCTGCTGGGCCCTGGTTCATCTGCTGTAACCCATGAGATAATTACAGCCTTTCCATCATAGTCTCCCTGGGTAATATGTACCTAAGATCAAAACAAACAAAAACGTTATAAACAGATAGATAAAAGTAATGAATTTTGAAGGGAACGCTAAAGCAATAAATAGATAGTATGGCACCTGCAATCAGGTAAATAAAAATTTTAGGAATTTTCATATTAAAAATGTGCTACATAACAACGAATTTAATTTAGGGAAGCTAGTGAATCAGCTCGTGCAAACAATTTCAAAGCATAGATAAGTCATAAGCAAGCAAGTGCTGTATGTTCCACATGCACAACATGTTTTTTACCAGTAAGTTCATCCTTCTTGAATGGTTATTTGCTAAGTTTAAATTTTAACCAGGAGGGGGGAGGGGGAACTGAAACTACCTTATAACTAGAATACAGTTAACAACAGTAAAATGGAATGACTCCTTAAGAAGGAGAATATTATCTACAAAACTAAAGCAGAAATAAAATCATAGATAAAGATAAGGGGGAGAAAACTATTGAAGCCCATTTGCCTTCATTATAGCAGTTCCATTTTTTCCCAAAATTTCTCTGTATAATGCTATCCAATAATTAATGAGAATGCAAAAACAAGATTGACAGGCACACGTCAACACCATCTAATATAGAAGAAAGCATTTCAAACAAACAAAAGCTTACTTGTTGTGGTGCATTGTATCCCTCTGGAACTGCAAATGCTTCGTTATCAAGAGGGATGTCAATTGATGGCCACTCTTTCCGAGTGAAAGTACTTGTGGTCCCAGCATACCCATTGTTCACAGAACTCAAGAAAACAAAGGATGTGAATATGACTTGAAGAACTGAGGATTGCATCTTAGTGGCCCCTGGCATGGTTGTTGATCAGCCAAAAACCATGCAGTTTACTGCCTGAAAAACTAAATGCCAATTAATTAAAACATATGTTTAACCCCAGACGCTTCTGATGTTCACTTTTTGCATAATATACTGAATACAAATAACTAGACTGCCTGTGCCTCTAAACTCATCTTTTAAGGAATATAAAAATGGAAAGCAATATTTTAACATTCTTTGAAAATTTTGAAGTAATAAGCTACATTGAACAAGGAAAAGTAAACTCAGAGTACATGTAGACAATCCATACTACATGAAGTTCTGGAAGAAGTAAAAAGTCCCTGAGTATTTAACATCTTCTCAAATAACATGCAAGAATGAGAAAAATCTAGTCAAATCATGTTCCAACTTTTTATAAAAAAAATATACAATCAAACACTTAAAATTTATTCCTTTAGATAATAAAGAAAAGAGAATCTTGCTTCTATTGAGATGGAAATGCTCACTTTCACCACCTACTCTCTAATTTAGGCATTACATGAGAAATAAAATGGGGAAAAAGATGAAATAACCTTTTTCTTGTTAACTAAAGATAGAATAACTTGTTACTACTAAATAGCGCGTCATTCCCAAAAAAATTTTCTGGACTCTTTGTTACTAACTAATCTGATCTTACGTGATTCTTAACATTACCTTGCTAATTTGCCATTACCCAATAAAACTTCTCGATTAGATTACAACATACAAATTAACACGCCAAAAAGCATGAACTTTTTAACTCCTCCCATCAAATCCAAAACGCTCAAACCAAACACATGTCCATTCTACATCTAACTTAACATTTCCACTCAAAATGCCATACCCTTTTCACATTGATACCCGGGAAACAAGATCGAAATCAGAACATCCAAATGCACCCAATTGATAGCTGTGTAAAAGGAAACAGCTTTTCACATCATTGATAAACTTTAGTTTAGAATGAAAGATGTTAAGAAAAACTGCTTTCATGAAGCCAACGGATGAATACTGAATATCATCATTCTAAATTGCAGAAATACAATGAAAAACAAAAGACGGTTTGGTAAAGAAAAGAACCCACCAAACATTCATCATACTCTACAGAAAACAGGATTGACTGAAGAGAGAGAGATACCTTCAAAACATCTGCAGAGGGGACAGAGGGGGAAGAAGAACAGGGTGAGTTGGTAGATTGTCATTAGATTAATCAGGTTATTAATAAATAAAGTGCGAAGGGAGATGCGTACGTTAGTGGAAAAAATCGGCGGTGGCGTAAATTAGAGGTACAGCTTGCCTTGTTGGGTGTTCGCGTAACGTTATGGGATACTCTACTCCTTGGATGGATCTTCTCATTGGATGGAACCGACTTACGTGGCAGGGTTCATTTTATGCTTTGGGTGAACCTCGCTTGTACCGAGAAGGGCACAAACCAACATATACCCCAACAGATAGCTCTTCACTTTGTAAAGTTGATAGGTTTTAACTATTTATCTTATAATATGATAGTTTTAACTCTTTATTTTATAAAATTGATAAGTTTTAACCCATCATCTTACAAAATTAATAGGTTTTAATCCATTACCTTATATTATAATATTTTTAACCTCTCACCGATACAAATTAAAGAAAATAACCCTCACCTAACATCAAGTTATAATGTTTTGTTTGTTTTGTTAGTTGATTGTTAACATCCGTTAGCATTTCATTGTAAAAAACATGAAATTTAAATTCAATTTTATTTATTAATTCCATTAACAGAATACTAATGGATGCTAACAGTCAATTAACAAAACTAATAGTTAATTAACAGAACTGACAGTCAGCTAACAAAACTAATAGAATATTATAATTTGATGTTAAATAAAGACTATTTTCTTCAATTCGTATAGATAAATGATTAAAAGTGTCATAATATAAGATGAGGAGTTAAAACCTACCAATTTTGTAAGGTGAGAGGTTAAAACATATCAATTTTGTAAGATAAAATGTTAAAAATATTATATTATAAAATTAAAAACTAAAATCTATGAATTTTATAAAATGAGAGGTTAAAACTTACCAATTTTGAAAGGTGAGAGGTTAAAACCTACCAATTTTATAAGGTGAGAGGTTAAAACATATTAATTTTGTAAGATAAAAGGTTAAAAATATTATATTATAAAATTAAAAACTAAAATCTACCAATTTTATAAAATGAGAGGTTAAAAATTGGTTTTAACTTACCCAAAAGTGATGGAGGACAAAAATTTTAAATTATCGTGTCCCTAATTTCATTAAACGAGTTAGAATAATGATAAATGGAGTTAAGTGATTAAAATTTAAGATTAATAATGCAATTTATATTATTTTATTTAAAATATTAAAAAATAAATTTTATCATTTAAATTTTTATTTTTTTGAACATAATTACAATGGAAGGGATAGGAGATAAAGGAAAAGAAATTTGTGGGGTTTGAAATTGTAACTCATAAAAACAATCCCACTATTTTAGACTCAATATTACTATGTTGGAGTGTGTGGACCTATTATCACTTATTATTAATATATATAATATGTCATATTTTAATGAAATGAATAAATAAATTTAGCTTTGTTTAATAGAATTATTTTATAATTATAGTTATAAATTTTAAATTTTTTAATATCTTAAAAAATGTATAAAATATATTTGATATATTTAATATTTATTTTAATTAATATTTTATATATTTTAAAATAATAAAAAAACTTGAAAACCAAAAGAATAAGTGGCTTTTTAAACAAAATTTTTATCTTTTAATATTTTAAATAATATTATTCATGTAATGTCATTGATATCAAATTTTAAGACTATTAGAATTAATTATTTTAATAAACTATT